ACAGCCGAAGATAGAGAAAAAGAGCATCTTAAAGCCACGTGAAAGGAACCCTGGTGGCATAATAGGTTATACACTGGGGAGCTAACCACAGGGTCAGCAATTCAAAACCACCAGTGACTCCAAGGGGGAAGATGAGACTTTCTGTGCCCCGAGGACTTACAGTCTCAGACATGCACAGGGCAGTTCTGCCCTGTCCTGAAGATTCCCTATTGGATTTGACTCTGGCAGTAAATGTGGAGGGTTTCTGTTGTTCAGCTGAGCGAACCAGCTGAGTCAGCTAAAGAAAGAAAAGGCTGCAGAGGTCAGGGGAGGTCATGGGTAGAGTACCCTGGCCTCCACAGTGCATTCTTGGCAAAGCTTGTGGGAGCATGAAGATGCATAGCAGTGCACGGGGAGCTGGCTCAGGCCGAAGGGGATTATAGCCATCTGGACTTGAGGTCCTGGGGCTTGGTGGTAGGAATTCTAAGGAAATTTTTTTCAAAGAAAATATCCTGAAGGCTTGGTCCTTAACTGAAAAAGTGAGCAGTGATAGAACCTCCCTGGTAGCTGAACTTGTCAATGACCCTGGAAGAAGAGAGCTTTGCTCAGATGAGAATAACAATATCCTGTGAGATAGGGCAGAGTCGAACTGCCCCATAGGGCCTCCGAGGTTCTAAGCCTCATCTTTCTCTCAAAGAGCAGCTGGTGGATTTGAACTGCTTGGTTAGATGTATTGGCTAGCAGGGATAAAGGAATGGGATTGGACAATAGGAAGATTTGACAGTGACCCTATAGAACAGAGAAGAGCTGTTCTTTAGGGTTTCTGAGACTAACGCTTTATGGGAGCAGATAGCCCATCTGTCTCCCAAGAAGCAGCTGATGGATTTGAACCACTTGCCTTTCAGTTGGAAGTCCAATGCTTAGCCCACAGTGGTATCAGTGCTCCTTGTTAGAGGCTTAATGGGTTGATAAATTAGTTCTTCCCCTTCCAAAGTCAGAAAGAATTGAGAAATAAAACCAAGGAGGCAAACAAGACTTGCAAATATTCTCCCCAACACACATGCTTTCTCCTCTGCTCCCCAACAAAGGAAAACCAAAGGCCAACATTAGTCTCAACAGAGACAAAGCATTCTTGTGAACAAGAACCAGATAGGGATGCCCTTTATCACCACTCCTATTCGATATTGTGTTGGAAGTGTTAGCCAGAGTTATAAGGCAAGAAAAGGAAATAAAAAGCATTCAAATTGCAAAGAA